CCCCCCCCTCCCCTGTCACCAACTGTAACTCAGGTCTGTTGTGCACTCTTGAGTCACTCCATTTATTATATATGACCTCATTTGCTGTGCACAGGACGACAGCTGCCAGCAGTCGCATTCGCACATACCATTTGAAGAACAGTCAGGTACTTCTTCCACCAGATATATTTCTGGAAGTACGGCCCCAAGGCTGCAAGCAGGTAGTACGAGTACATGATGATGTGAACGAATGTGTTGAGCATTCCAAAGAATGAGCTGTGGCCGCCTGCAAGAAAACACAATACTGAAATATTTATCTGAGAGTCTAATCTGGAGTTTCTCATCAAATACAGTATCACCCCCCTCCCCCCACTACTCAGGCACACTCATTTTAAAATGGGTGCCAGGGGAATGCAGCGTTACAGTGAACGTGTTGTAACAGAGCTTTGCACTAGTAACTGCTCTTCAGACAATACTTGTGTACACAAAATATTGCCTTTAATGCTCGTTACGTTGATAAAATTGTGTTTATTTCAAATTATGAGCAGGCGACTGCTGAGGGTACAGTCCACAGCCTAATTTATGTAAGACTGCAAATTATATTAGCCTTCAGGATTACATAATATCACAACTCAGAAGACCACAATCCATGGGTAATACATGCTCTGTCATCTGCCTACCTGGTGTGAACTTAACTCCGAACCAGACGCTCAATGGCATGACGCCGTGGTGAATCACATGCAGGGTGGAGATGTGGTCGTTCTTCTTGCGCAGAACAAAGAATATCTGCCAGAGGAAAACAGACATATTACAATTTGTGACTACCTGACATGAGCATCGTAATACTGCCCGTACGTATTGTACTTACCGTGTCAAAGAATTCCGTGAACTTGGAAAAGTAGTACCACCAGCACCCTCTTGCCATCTGCAGCAAAACACATTCACGTGACTGACAACGCTTAATACAGACACATCGCAAATGTTTCAGTTCACCATTTTAATGCCTACTTCAGTGGTCTACAGAAACAAAGTTACAAGATATCACTTGGTCAAAACATTCACTGTCTTGCACTGAACCAGATCTTCAGCCCTCACAACTTATTTATTTAAGATCCATATTAATGTTATCCTCCCATGTGTACCTACATTTTCCTAGTGATCTCTTCCCTCCCAGTTTTTTGACAATAATTTTGTATGCATTTCTCTTGTCTCCCAATGCTCGCTACACCCCCGACAACCTATCTGGTTCAGAACACAAATCGCGGAGCCCCTCGGCACGAAATTTTCTCCATGCTACTCCCTCTCTGATCCAAAGAACACAAATCGCGGAGCCCCTCGGCAGGAAATTTTCTCCACGCTACTGTCATCCCCTCACTCCCTCTCTGATCCAGATATCCTCATCAGCACCCCGTTGCCAAGCCACCCAAATCTATTTTCTCCTTTGCGTTAAGAGATCAAATTTCACAGCCACACAAATAATGGCGCATATTTCATCTTTGGGATTTTAGATGGCAGATACGAAAATGCAAAATTCTGAACTGTACGGTAGCAAGAACACCGAGAATTTATAACTGTCTTGATTTCAAAACCACTTGTGTGCCAACTCTAATTTCTACCGGTGAACCAACCAGGCCACTATGTCGTCACTAGCAACCTTTGACTGGGCAACTGCGTAAACTTTAAATAAGTACACAGAACAAAGTTCTCCTGTACAAAAAATGTGAAGGCTGATCTGAATGGTCTAGAGAACTGTTTGATCAACACGTTTACACTTTCAATACAGGTAACATCCTGGTGACAGGACGCAGCGTCACAAAATGCATTACTGTGGCAACAGCTAATTAACTGATCAACCAATTCAACGGTGCATGGTTTTTCTTGAGCGGTTTCTTCAGCCTCTTATGAGCCATCTGAATGCAGTCCATCCCTTAACATCCCACAATATTTATCATCCCCCACCTCCACGTGAAACACGGACTCGCTTGATATCGCAGACTGCACAGATGTGACACTTACCCTCATTGCTCTGGGGCTGTTGGAGTAGTCAACTGGCTGACATCTGTAGCTGTAGTGGAGCCACCCAGCGACCAGGCTCTGCGTACAGACACATGCGAAACTGGCTTAGCAATAATCTGGCTACTATTTATCTCAGTTTATTTCTAAAACATGGTATCCAGCACCAAGGTAATGAAACGATGACGATGATCTATTCTGAATACTTCTTTTGTCTTCAGTAAAAGGGCACAGAACAAGGAAACGTAATTATACCTCAAACAAATCTACACAGATGCAGAGAATCTCATGGCAATTGCTGATACCAGAAATTTAAGATGTATAAAAATTAAGTTTATAATTTTCTATTAAAAGTATAAATCAGTGCTTTTTTTACTAACTGCTCCTTCCATTCAACCTGCTTACGTATTTATCCACTCTAGAATCTAAAACAATCTGTTATAATAACAGACAACATCTTATAATAACAGTTTAATAAGGAATAATTTCGGACTGACCTCTCTGTGGTCACCGCGAAACTGTGACTCAAAATGAATGTCATTCCGTCTGAAGATGGCTCCATTTAGTCTGGTAGAAGTTCTTCATCATCAGGACGATGACTGACCCACTCATCACTCTGATGATGGAGGCAGCGAGGCCTTCTCAAACACCCGTGAACTTCTACCAGACTACTTGGCGCAACAACCCAGAAGACAGCCATCTTCAGACTCACTGCCACGAAAACCTCAAATCCTACTTAGAATGCCATTCTATTTCAACACAGTTTCCAGAAAGCTGTCGCTTATGTTCCGTCACATCCATACAAAACCAATGTTAAGAAGATTGTTATGTACCTTATTTTTCATTGTTTACAAAAGCTGAATTACAAGAAAACCGGATGTCTTAATCAGTTTGTGACGCCACAATTTAACAAACATCGAGCAAAGATGTAAACGTTGATGTTCTGCGTTGTGACGTCGTGTGGACTTACAGTTCGATACCAACGTTTCAGAGAAACATGCGGTCTCTTTTCAAGCCTGAAGATGTTTTCGTTTAATATCGGCATCTACTATGGGTCCGCAAAGTGTCGCAACCCAGAAGGAACATAATCGACGTCTTCGCTGTCACAAGAACCTCACATCTCACTCAAACAAAAGAATTTGTGTCCACTGATATGAGACGACTAGCGAGCAAACTATTCTCAGCTGCCACTTAACAAAATAACGTTAATAAGATAATAAACAGCAATTTGTTTGCACATTGGCTCTAAGTAAATCTGCATTCTTTGACATCTGGTGCAAGGCGAAATGAAAACTTTAATCAAAACTCACACATCATTCGGCGAAGTCACCTCTGCAAATTAGTCTGCCTCTGTTAAAGTACACACGGGACTTGATGGCTTAGCCGCCGTATGAAATGACGTAACACTTTGAATTCTGGCCAGGGACAGGCTCACTCCATTCCCTACAGTGTCTTAAAATAGGCCGTGGCTATTTCCTTCCACATTTTATACAACGTTAAGAATAGTCAGTAGTTGATGGAGTATCATTATTATTATTTAGTGTTCTGTCTGGCGACAGGTCCATATGAACAGGATCCTTCCATCCTTTTCTCGGACTGGGACCTGTTCATATACGTTCTTGGCAGATGATCCAGAAGTGGTTTGCCATTGCCTTCTTCTGTGTGTGAATGGAGTAATTGTTGGGATGCCACGGAGGAAAACTCCGTGTTGCCTAGACCACGGCCTTGCCCAACACAAGTTATAAATTCGGGCACCGCCGGGAATCGAACCCGAGACCCCAGGATTACAAGGCCAGCGTTCTGACCGCTAGACCACCGTGGCGGCGGAGTATCATACAACAACCAAATAAAGTCTGAGTTCTATTCAGGACTCAATTAGGTTGGGATCTCGGTCTAGCTTTTATCGCCGGAAGCTTCCTTCTATTCCGAAAGTAAGCGACACTGCTGCACCAGCTGGAGAGGTTATTTAGTGTGGATTAAGGTTAAAGGCTGTCCATTAGTTTGGCTGGAGTGACTGAAAATGCCATGCAAAGTCGTCAGTCAAGTCCTCTTCTCCTTAAGGGCAAAGGATGTTACCTCATAGAAAAGCCACGCACTGAAGATCACTTGCACAAAGTTGTAGACGATGAGTACGCGCCTAAGGTTCATTGGTTTCCTGTGCTCCATGATCCTGGGGCCCAGCACCTTGACGAAATACGCGTAGCTGAGGCAGATCGCCAGCGTCGGAAAGGGACTGCCCATCAGCAACCAGTCGTTGACGCGTGGATCTGCGGACAATCAGACGCCTCACTTAACAGAGCAGATACGACGAAGTTCGAGGGACTGGAGCTGTTGAGCGGCGGAAAGGAAGAGAAATGTAGATATTTTATGCTCTGAATGCAAACACCAGTCGAGGGGCGCTTTTTGAAACGCGGTTCTCGGCACATTTACATTATTTTGTCCGCAGAAGACACGGAAATGAGTCTTCTGAGTTGCTGCACCATGCGGTCCAGTAGAAGTCTACCAAAGTTTCAGAGGTGTTTGCTAAGGCGCTCAACGACGGAGAAGACGGCCATCTTCGACTTCCTTCAAATAAGAAAGAAACAGCAAGCCCTTGTTCGTCGGAGCTTCAAATGCGGAAATACTCAACAGCTTATTAATAAAACATTATTAAAACGGTCTGTGACCTTTGTATCGCAGACAGAAATTTCATCTCTGAGTAACTACAAGTACGTGCTAAGTGATCTTGGAAGTGACATTTTCATATACGTTTTGCTGCGAAGTGCAAGAACACAGGTGAATGGCCCGTGTTCATATTCTGAGCACTAGAACTGAAGTTAGGTGTTTGACGTATACACACATAATTGAGAGACTGCATTCTTGTACCTGAAACATGAAACTAGCAGATCTTATGAACACTTCCATAACATTTTAATAATATCCCACAAGGAATTTCAACTACAGCAACACGAAAGAGCTGCCTGACCGGAAGCGAACATCATGACACAAAGAACAAGAACGATCTCGATCATTTGTGTTGTCTTGAACGTGCGACACCTTCAACAGGGAAACATCGAAGGGATCTTTTAAACAAACTTAATTTAATAAACTTTATTTCACTTCGAAATCAAAACAGTGAGAGAGAGAAAAGATTGCAAAAATTCTGCATTATCAACTTTATCAGGGAATTTCTTAATTAGCTGAGTGACTAGCAGCTTCTCAGTCAATGCGAGCTCTGTTCTGCTGTATAATTGTCAACAGAGTGAAAAAGAAATTTCTAGAAATTACATTTCCTTCTTCCAGAATAACAATCACCTCGTTCCAAAGAACGGCGCACGTATTCTTAAAATGGAACTCACCGCTTTTGTTGTTCATGATGTCGTGGTACCCATCTATGAGAGTTCGTACCAACTGCGCCATCTTGCTGTCACTGCAACACAAGCCCAGAATGCATCACAATCTCTTGTTAACGAGGGGCCACTTCTCAGATCTGTCCGCAAAACAAGTGGAGGACGCCTTAAAGTAAACGGAACTCGATCTCCACAGCCTCAGCTGTTAAGGAGACAGCGTGCGATATAAACGCAAAGTTAACAGAGACTTGCGACTGTACGCGTACGATACTACATATTACACTTTGCACGTGGTGAAGAAGAAGAATGGATTTCTGTTGTGTAATGATGATGTATCAACTGAAGGCATTATACAATACTGCGTGAGGTGTGGCAATGTCCATTACATGAGCAGTTGCTGTAGAGAAAGAGTGATGCCAAGTGGGCAAGAACCACTACAAGAGCCAAGTGTCATTTCAACAGGAAACGGGCACAGGCACTGGATTGACTGCGCATATTATAATAACTGTGAAATGAAAGGAATGTTTAACAAAATATCCTGGTGCTGGCAGAAACAGATTCATCAACGGATTTCAATTAAATTTGGTATACGGATGGGACCTACCCTGAAAGTTGCCACTCAAATAAAAGTTGAGCTTTAAGGCAGCCACAGATCAGACGAGCCCTGCGTCTTCTGCATGGAGCAGACGTTAAAGCACCTCCGAGCGCGATTCTCCTGCGACGGGACTGTACGCCACTGCCGCTCCACGCACATCGTGAACAGAGTATAAGCGCCATTCCCCTCCAGTGAATGCTGTGTCTAAAACCTGTGGTCAGCGCTTTCGGAAGCCTTTCATTTCACAAACAACACCTGCAACGTTGCACTTGGTTGTCGATCCACTGAGCAATCAGAAAAATCCGCCGCCGAATGAAATGAATCGGCCTCATCCTTCCACATCCGCTGTTTTACTGTGTCAGGTTTCAACTGCTCACGGGTGTGCCAATAAAAGCGTCAACACTGCACCCACTGCGGGCTAGGCTGGTCACCGAAATTTAACGAAAAGATCCCCGGAGTCAGCGAGTTCGTATCGCGTCCCGGAAGTCGTCTCACGGAGAAAGACAAACACGGCGTTTCATTGGAATGTTCCACCAGTAAACAAGGATACAAATAAAAGTTTCTGACCTTGAGAATGACGACAAACCTTGATGCAAAACAAAAATAATAGTTGAGAGGGAAATTGAACTTTCGTATGCCACGTTTACTCAGTCCGTCAATGCGTTTGTTTCCTCGTTCAAATTAACATACAATAACGCAATAAAAATCGCGAATTAGTGGGGCAGATGGACGAAGTGAGAGAGTGAGTGGCCTTCAGACAGACTTCAAGGCGGCTCAAGGAACGACGGGAAACAAAATCGGCGAAATCAAACTTCGCTGCGATAATGGAATATAGTTCATGTGCTCGTTGAATTGCAATGAACATGCCGATCCGCCCCTTTTCAAAAACACTCCGTTCGATGTTGCGCACGAACGCCGGAAGAAATAATAATAATAATAAAGAGGAATCAAGGTAAGGCTCCTCCACGGCACTGGGACGTGGCGTGATTGATCAGCAGAACTGGGCACTCGCATCTGAGGAGCTTTGTCTCCACGTCTCCATGCGCCTTTGGGATGGACTCAGCATCGAGGTCAATTGCCCTCATCACCTTGGCTGCCCCAACAGGAAGGAAGTTCTGCTCCTACCAAGGCTGCGCGAGGACGCCGGGTCCGACAGGCAATATCACAACTACGACACCAGGCGCGTTACTCATTTCACGACGCCGTATCAACTGCTTGCAGTGCGGAACATGCGGGATTAACGCGGCCACTCACTCACTCGAATCCACCGACAGGGTTTTGACCGAGCGGAGCCCGACCTCCACTCAGAGCTCAGACACGGGGGCAATTCTGCCCTCGTTAGGCCCGCTCGCAGCCTCGCAACTTCAGTGGGCGGATTTGTGTCGTAATTGGCGTGTGCAAAGAGGTGCTTGGGCGTCGTTGCCATGGTAACGACGGCAACTGTTGATGCAAAGTTACGACACGAAAGATTGGGAAACTGATCGCACGTGGGGCAGGACTTGCTCCTTTGCGCCAGCTGACAGTCGCTCAGCTCTTCAACAACTTCTCCAGCCCCTTATGAAACCTGGAGGGTCATCACCGTGTTCGCAGGACGCGGTCCTTTATGCATCCTGAGTCCGACGAATCCCGTTCACATCCTATTTAATAAACACCCATTTTAATATTATCTAATTTACACCTCTGTCTCCCAAGCGCTCTCTTGATTTTAGGCTTACAATTAAAACTGTGTATGCTGCATGTCCGGCCCATCTAATTACCCGTTATGTTACTGACTCATAGCCCTGATGACGGAGGCAGCAAGCACCTCCGAAGCGTCTACACGGCGCAACAACCCAGAAGACAGCCATCTTCGGACTCAAACCTCAAATCCTACATAGCCTAGTTTTGTTTCACTGTGCGTTACGGGACCTCTGCTCGTAGAGAAGGCAGGCAAAACGTTCAAGTGGACCTTGGCAATGTCAGCACTTCACATCCGGTTTGTAAATGTCTGCGTCCGCGTTTCGAGCCGAAATCTTGCAGGGAAGTTGAAGATTCGACGCACTCAGCCAGAAAAGTGACGCGGTGAAGCTGCACGTGGCTACCGACTCACATGACACGCAAGGAGGTTCAGCACAGTCATTACAAAAGCCTGGCACTGCTTCTTGCAACAAACACATTCTAGCAGCATCTTTCACAGAGCAAGTTAGTGCAGCGGTAACAGTCGGAGTGCAGACTGAGGAAGGCGTCTCCAGCAGAACGACAATCGGACTTCGATCCCAGCATCTTTTTTTTTTCCCCCCCCCCCCCCCCAATCTCCAACCCGGTGGTTGAAACGGCAGTCCTCGAAGAGATTTCCTCACCAAAATTCTGCACGTATTCCGTTTCTACTGCAAGGTGACCCGTGCAAATTGATGTTTTGCAGAGCCTATTCCGAGCTGCCCACTTAAATGCACTCCGCCTCCTTCCAAATCCTTGCTAATTATCACTCATGACCATTTTACCGATGCTAACACCGCGGACCGCGCTCCGAGCAAAGCGTCGTCCCACGTAACAAAATCACGTGGCGTCAAACCCGTCGCTGGCTCAACAAAATCAGCACAGCTTCCACCTGCAAGGTGAGAGCAGCAGGAACTGTTAAGGCCAGAATTGAGCGTTGCCAGCGGACGCACAGCGCACTGCGAAGCCCCCACGTGCCTGGCGCACGGCGTTTCGTAACGCCTAATCAGCCCCTTTCGATTGTAAGCCACTGATCGCCTTCGAGCGATGGGCGTCCGACCTCATTAGCCTTTATCTGAGGGCTCGGCACTCAACGATTATCAGCATAAAGGCGAACCGGCTCTGGGCCGTGACTGCCTGCAGCTTCTGATACCGAAGCATTTGCGTTTTCGCCTTCCTCGGCGCAGACGGAATAGGACATCAACGCAACATTTCAGTCGGAAAACGTGACGCCGGAAGACCTAGCTGTAGATGCTGGGATATTATCAAAAGCGGAAGGTCGAGAGGCCTTCTGGTTCTACAAGAGGTGGAAAAGTTCTTGGCAGCTACGCGACTATCAGCTTGTCATAAAGTACCTGCTCAATGCTAATCGTAATTGTACATTAAGGATGGAAGTCGAGACCTGCCGACCACGGAGTAAAATCAATCAATTACACAGTTCAAGTCGCTACGCAGAAGAACGAGCCCGTGTTAACGCCAGGATTCTGCACTGGACTCCCCCCCCCCCCCCAGGCTTTCTTTTGCAGCCTGAAAACTTGCCTTGTCCTTACCTGCTCTCGCTTGCACTTCACTGACGTCATCGTCGTATTTACGTCCGAGTGCCACCGACATATTTGTGGAAACAATTCGACATTTTGTGCTCAAAACCTGTTCTTCGTCACCCCTCGACCCAAAGGCCATCCGTCTCAGTTTCCAAGTTCTGATCAATGTGCACTGTCATTACTAACATCATCCATAAAAGTAGTAGACAAACAAACGAACGAACAAAGAAGGCCTTCAGATATCTCCTTCCAGGGAACACCTGCCATTGAACGGACAACCCACATTTGACTTTCCTTATTGAGCAAGGAGAACGGACATCCTACCGCAACGTCAGACGTTTCGGTAAAGCAGTATCGACATTGGCCAATCGGTCACCGGATCTTCGTCCGAACTCAGATTTGTAAATGTCGTCTCTGCACTGCAAAAGAGCAAGGACGGAGCAGCGAGTGGGTGCGTGACCTACCTGATCCCCACCCCGAAAACGTTACGACACTCGTCCCTGTCGACACAAGCACGTGTTTCATCAAGGCGGACTGGGACTTCGTGGATTTCCCTTGCACTTGCAAGATCAGTCGTAAAACAAACAACACTTGAAAAGCTGATAGTCGCTCAGCTGGTTAACGGAACTGAAATGCCTCGATAAGAACACATTCGATTTACCTCATGGCCCTTCTTAATCGCGCGCGGGGTCTGCGACATTTCCAGAGCCGTCGGCGGAGGCGAAGACGGGAAACTGTAACACGCCTCCGGCGAGGAAACTGACCTACATTAAGCGACGCACATGATGTCGCAATTAGGAACCGGTATCTCGCAGTGCGCAAAAACAAAGTCAGAACGTCAATCATTACGAACAAAATCGGGTAACGCGCGTGACCACGCGGCACGATCACAACACGCAAGGAAGGAAAGACGACGAGCTGCATTTGCCTCGCCAACACTTTTCTGCCAAATTACCGAAACTACGCACCGATCCATTGCGCAACCGCGCGACTTCGTCGTTCAATGTAAACAAACCGACGCAGTATAATGCGACTATTTGTAACCGGCAGCTTTCCGCGTTGCTTAACGCGAGCGGGTCTGAATGTCGTTTCATTACAACGCAATGCAATAACCTACAAGGCCGTAGAAACTCGGCTCCACGGAACGCATCGCCGTGTGAACGAGACTGCCCGACACTTCGGAGGATCGGCCAGCAAATTCCAGTTACAAGATCGTGCAAATATTTTTAGCCCATCGGCAGGGGCCTGAAGCTGACTACTCGCCCTCGTCTGCAGCAATGCCTCCATCTCTCTCCCCCCCACACACACACGTGTCCATGGCACGTGGGGCCAGAATGAGAGTCACATTTGAGAATTCTCTCTCAACCCTAAGAATCCCAGGCGGATTTATGGTCCCCAGTATTTCACAATGTTACAGTTTCTATTAAGCAGCGGAAACTACGGTTGCACGTGGAGGCAGCACGTTCCTACGAGACTACACGGCGACACAACCCAGAAGACCACAATCAGCTTCTCTTGAAAGCCGTTGAGGAAGGCGCAGACGAGCGACTGGCGTCCGAGGTCGAAATCCGCCACGGAGAAGAAAAATGGCGCTCGCAAGTGAACACGTTCGCCATTTTCAAGATAAGGAAACGGAATTACGAAATTGTCGGAAACGTCGAAGGGGTGGGGGGGCAAACTGCCAAAGAGCACGACAACGCTGAGAGCAGGAAGGACGCTTGTGCGGAGAGAAGGTTTCGGAGAAATATCTGCCTCCATCTTCAGGGATGAACATTGCTATAGAGGTCCACGCACAAGACGAGCATCGACATGTCCTCCGCGAGAACCTCGTGTCTGACCTCGTGGCTTCAGTTCGAGGTCTCGCTTTCGCCTTGCCGACGTGAACGACCCTCTCACTTTTCGCGTCAAAGTTCTCCCGCGAGGAGCACAAGTCCGCCTTACGTGTCGCGTCCCCGACTTCAGAATCACCTGGAGTTTGCAACTGTAAACGGATCTGAGCCGGTTCGCAAGGAGTTTCATAGGTTTGGACGCCGTTCTTCTTGTGGGGTCGCTTCGGGTTCGGTAAAATTAACCGGTGGTATAAATCCCAAGGAAGCCAGAAAGAAATTTTTGCAAACACGAGCTTACGAACTTCAGGCGAAAGTAACGATTTTGCTAAAACTGCTGGCAGCACGAGAGGAAAGGTTCTCAACTAGCAACCGCATTTCGGGGCTGCAAGTTTTTTGAACTCGGATCATTTTACCCTGGCCCGCGGTTCGGACGATTTCTGGTTTGCTTCAAAGACGCTCGCTGATTGACAGGCGAAGAAGCGATTAAGGCACATCACAGCGAGAGATTCTTATCTGACGCGCGTGACCAATGAAGAGAGTCGGACGTGCGGCCGACCCGACGGCTGGAACGTGCGCTGAGAGCACGTCAGTGAGCCACTTTCAGTTTCAAAAGCGTAAACGAATTCGCTGTCACTCTCCGAGACCTCCGATGCCGCACGGAATTCTGTCTTGGTCCAAACGGTTTTAAAATTCGTGTCAGTAACAACTAATTAACTCACAGTGACACTGGATTTAGAAGCTGATCGTCGCCTTTCACACGATCCAAGGGCTGATGACCGTGTTCCCAAGATATCGCCAGTGAGATGCATTTTAATATCATCCTCCCATATGCGCGTCGGTCACCTTATCGTCTTGCGAGCACAACA